GGGACGTGCGCTTGACTTCGCATAGATGTGCACACTCTACCAAAATGTAGCAAGGCGTCGGGTAGCGTCGCATAGCGTTGCGTCGGGTGTGTTCTCGGCTGATCACAAATCGAAAGCAGGCACTCAAATAGACCTAAGTATAGAAAATGCACGGAATTCATAAAAACCCACCCATCACTACCAAACAAAAATAAAGAGTAAGCCAGCGCCTCGAACTACCGGGTTTTTGGGCTTGCAATACCGATCGTCAAGTGGTGCTCATCGAGCCGATAGTGTTAATAAATTTAATTTATCCCATTCTTCGACAAATAACAAAAACCACATGGAATCAGATGTAGAAAAATTGTTATTTAGATTTGTTTTTGTAGTTTTTCCATTCCTTGTATGGTCATATTTTCACCTCTTCAAATAATAAAATTTCAATTAATCGGACGTTTGATCATTCCGGACGTTCGGAAGACGTGACGTTAATAGTTATTAAAAAAAGACAATGAGCCGAAGACATTCCGAGTCAAGTCACGCTAAGTCTCAGGCGGAGAGAAATATTTCTCAGACTGGAGATATATTTCGCCAGGGCTGCCTGTCTTCAACAGCCGGCCGTTCTTTATCTCTCTTCCTAGTTCCTCTTGTCTCAGACGCACTGGCTATCATTTTTTCACCTCTTCTGATATTGTGGGGGGTGCCATTCCGCAGGAGAAGTTATTTTTTCTTCTCTTGATATTAGTTGGAAAGATTTTTGACCATTTGATTGCTGTCCTTGTATTCCTTGTACATAAATTCACATATCGTCGGTTTTACTTTTTATCGTACCATATACGATTGTAACTAAGTAAAATGGTGATTCCCAGAATAGTTAACAAATTGAAAAAGAATAATAATGTTTAAGTACTTCCCAAAAGTATCTGGACGATCAGCTTAGGCTCTACCCACTCAATCAGTGCATTATAAAAAAAAAAAAAAACCAACACTTGAGAAAATTGATCCCCGTGCACAAATTGTTTATCTGTTGGAGGCAGAAGTGTTTTAAATCACTCAGAAACTGTTTACCTCTTGTTTTCACAGTTTTTTCCCCTAAGCCCTAAGGATTCAAGATCCCTTCTGCCTGCATATCACACTTTGTATGAGTTACGAGTCGAAAAGCGCAATCGTGTTGAGGAAGGGCCCGAGGAACAAAAAAAATTCGAGAACCGGGTGGCCGTAATAAAACAAACATGAACCCAACGGCTCAGAAAAACTGAAAACCGACATATTTATGGTTTTCGACTTATCGACCATTCCACATCCATCTCAATTAGCCTAATTGATACAATTATTGTTTGATATTAAATTGATGCTTTGTACGAATTAGAATTGTATTTGTGCCCAATTAGGTCGAGCTATAATTAACGGTTTCCATTGTGCATAGGAACAGCTAGTAATTAATTAAATAAATACATATACAAAAATTAATTTATATATAGACACAGGTGTTCGGCTACTCGTATTACAAACTTTTCCAGTAGATTCTACATTCAAAAAGAACCCAAGAAGTCCTGATTAACTATGATCCGAATTTCAACAGTTTAGGAGTTATTTCACTTTGTCTGATTTTTAAAGATTTCACGACCTTGCATGAAATAAACAATGATAACTCCAAAATTAAAAGGTTTTTGACAAATCCATTTATACCATTGAAAACTACGTTAAATTTCCAAAGATATGTGATCAATAATAACCTTGTAAACCTTCGTGAAATAAGGGTTTTAGTAGAGAAAACTTACAATTAATTAAGGTTTTCAGTTGAGATGAAAAAAAGTTAATGGCACGAGCGGGATTCGAACCCAGGATCTTCGGCTAGATACGCCGCTGTTCTACCACTTGAGCTATCGTGACCTCGATCCACTCGGACATCAACTTCCTATCTCAACCCCACCTTATGAGTTTTTCCTCCTTTTTGCCATTTTTCAACTTTTTTTCATCTCAACTGAAAACCTTAATTAATTGTAATGATTTAATTGGTCAAGCGGACCACAAAATTAGTGAATTTGAAAAAAATAATTTTTTAGTTAAAAAACTTACTATGATGATTCTAAACTACTATTTCCAAACTTAGAGACGAGGAAATTCCAGAAAATTTAGTCAATTTAATATCTTTTTTACTGGTGCAATTACTTTTTTAATTACTTCTTTCAAATATGAAAGAATTGATGAAGGAATATAAAAAACCGTGGTTGAAGGATTAGTAAGGTGGAAAGATTAATAATAATAAAAAACAAAAGACTTATGGAAATTTTGAATGAATTTATTAAACGTTTTTTAATTTTGATTGGAAATGCTCTTCACCCTCCCCAATGTATTTCCGACGCGCTGCCGTCCCATCAAACCCGCAAAACCCGTACATAAGACATATATCAGCGTATTCTTCATCAGAAAAAGTAGCCATATTGGATTATTTGGAGATCGTGAGATGCCGTCTGTGTGAAGTAGGCTTTAGAAAAACATTTTTTTTCTGTAGTGCCAACGTTTCGATCTTCATTGAGATCATCTTCAGGGCTCGAAGTGTTTGTTTTAGCGTAGATGTGTCATTCTTGTGAGTCGTGTTGAGAGTGCCCCTGAGCCTTAATTGATGTAATTTTGTTAGTAATGTCTTAATGTCTTTAATACTCGTGGTGATTTTTATGTTTGTTCTTTTTTGAACACCACACAGTAACAATAGTGTTAACAAGATATCACATAGAAAACTAAAACCGTTTTGTATCTTAAAAATAATTTATTCCGGAAAATAATAATACAGTTATTCTTTAATCCAAGTTGCATTCGTCTAGTTAAATAATTAAACACTTGTACTATTTTGGTTTCGAACCCAAATTAACAAAAGAACATTATTGTAATTAAAAAAGCAATTACACCACTAAAATGGATATTACAAGGAGTACGTTTTCGGAAATTTGCTGGTCTGTAGGTTTTGAAATAGTAGTTTAGAATCACCATAGTAAGTTTTTCAACTTTGAAACAACAATTCATTTTCTATTAATCGTTATTTAACGTAGTTTCCAATAGTATCAACGAATTTGTCCAAAACCTTTTAGTTTTGGAGTTATCATTGTTTATTTGAAGCAAGGTCGTGAAATCGTAAAAAATCAGAAAAAAAGTGGAAGAACTCCGAAACTGTTGAGATTCGGACCATAGGTAATTAGGACTTTTGGTATCATTTTTAAGGTAGAATATACGGGAAAAGGTTGTAACGCAAGTAGCCGAACAGATGTTTTTTGCCACACCCTGTATTAGATGTATATCTGTATACAGGGTGGCCCCAACCGAATCAGCCACACTTCCAGATCTTATAGGAAATTAAACGCTGAGTAAAAAAGGTTCTATGTACCTGTGTCCACAAACCCCTTAGTTTCGAGCTACAAGCAAAAAACCACGTTTTTTACTTTATTCGTGAAATTGTTAGTAAACCGTTAGCCTGACCGTAAAACAGCTCGAAGCAGCATCTATAGAGCATTAATTTTTGCGTCGAATGAGATTAAAACCAACCTGATCGGCCGAAAATTTCATTTTTGGAGATTTTTCGACGTTCTTCCTCGGATGAGGTGAAGGGGTACACAAAATTCACCATTTCTGACATTTCTATCGAAAATTCATAACTTGAACACCCTATAAAAAAATTCTCCGTTACAAACCTCGTTTGTTGGTGATCGAATTCTCCGTCACGTTAGACCAACCCCAGTCCGATTCATGAAACATTCGAATTTTGGCCAATTTACTGCTTTTCATCCAAATCGAATGTACCCCTTTCTGATGTTTCTGATGGCTATCCGCTACTGAATGAAATAATGTACGAAAAATCTGAACGGCTTCCATAACAATTTTAGAAAGTGTACTCATCTTTTAATGTACATTACTTTTTATTTATTACAATTAATTAAGGTTTTAGTTGAGATAAAAAAGTCAATGGCACGAGCAGGATTCGAACCCACGATCTTCGGCTTGATATGCCGCTGCTCTACCACTTGAGCTAGCTAGCTCTATCCACTCGGACACCAACTTCCCATTTCACCCGCACCTTTTGAATTATCCCTCCTTTTTGCCATTTTTTTAATTTTAAAAAACCATTACAATAGCTGCTTCATCATGAAATTAATGTGTATATATCCCTCACAATTAGTAGGAAACCTTTTCCTCTGACGAGAAAAGACAGATATAAAATGTTTACCTATTTCTTAGATCAGTTCCTGGATGATCCGTATACCCACGTCTCTTCCTAACGGTTAGTTATTGTGAGGTGAGTGATTGAGGTAAGCGAGTGAGGTGTGTGAGCTATGAGTGAGATGAGGTGAGTGTTTAAATTACCGTTTTCTATGACGTTGTATATATTCAGTTTCATATTATTATTTATTATTCTTTCTATCTAAGGTCTTGATTGGGATGAAAAGGTTAGCGTCTGGAGCGGGAATCGAACCCACGACCTTCGGCTGAATACGCCGCTGCTCTAACCACTATATATTTATACTAGTGTATAGTTTTATTGTGACATGGATCCGCTCGGACACAAACTCCTCTTCTCAACCTACATCCGATTTTTTCCTCTTTTTGCCATTTTTCAAATGTCCAATGTGTCATATTGTGGGTTCATAATCACGCCCGTGACGCTAACGTTTTCATCTCAATTATAACCTCTGATAAAAAGAATAATTAATTGAAATAATTAATATGGTCAATTATGACCTCTAAACATATATAATCTCGTAATTTTTGAAACTAGTTGTTTATATAAGGTTCGGCTTTTTTTAGTCGTTATTATTTTATCTTAATTGTTCTTTTGAAATAACAATATTTTCTAATTTTCTAGTTAATCTATAAATTGTACTTTTTCGTAAGAATATATCGAAGATTGATACGAATTAATTAATGTGTGAAAAAAGAAAGATTCGTTCGAAATCAAGACGCATTATCCCGGATGATCAAAATGGCCTTCGATCACGATAGGTCATGCAGGAAAAAAGGATTTAAATATACGTAATATCTATTGATAACAAAATGGATTGATTTCCACGGCAGAGCGATTATTCCGTCAAGAAAGCTCATGGAAGATGGGACTCCCACTGTTTCTTCTACTTTTATTAGCGGTAAAGAAGCGTTTTTTTCCTTGCTTATTATTACAGCTGTAAATATGTATTTTAGTTTTAGACTATTTAAAAGTTACATAGTTTTGTCTATATTATAATATAGATCACATTAAAATGATAAGCCCTGACAATGTAAAAAGTAATATTTCACTACGATTGAAACGTATTTAGAACATTTAAAGTTTTTAATGCAAAATTTAATATATATCAAGAATGAATATTTTACCACGTTTATTAGTAAAATTGAAATTATTATCGAATTCATTGACATTTCAAATATTTGATTGAAAAATTAATTGAAAAAAATTATAATATTATATTCAACGATATTTTAAATAACTTCTAATTTTTTCTTTCTCAGAATTCCAACAGTTCCAGCGGAAATGTTACAGATTTACAATTGGACATCCACCAGTTCGAATATGGCAAAATTCGCCTCGAAATGTACCGACTGAACGAAACAATTGAAACGTTCGCCAAAGAATGGAATACCGTGAAAGAAGATATGGAGGAGGTAAAACGAGAAATTTACAATGGATTTGTCCTACCCTCGAAAACGCGAGTTATGACAACTACCGAAAATTATTATTCAGGACAATCATATCATGGCAATTCATATGCAAGAACCGAACCTTATGAGTTAAAAGTACGAGACATGATGGTAAATCCAATTGAAACATACATTAATAATATTACAGAAGGAACGAGAATGCTTCAGAAAAGAATGGCTGCTGTAAAATCCCTGGTTGAATTACAAATGAAAATGGGTAAAGACCATGAAACGACGAATCAATGGGCTATTGAAACCGTTCGCGCTCTCGAGCAATCTTTAGAGAAACTGGTCAAAAAATCAAAAGACGGCATTCAAATTATTCAAGAAGTGTGTAAACAATTTCTATCATACAATTTCCGAGTAAGAAAAGCGGACGATATGACGTTCAAAAATCAGGTCTGCTCCATGCCGCAAGAGTACTACCAGTTCTTCTGCCAAACCTTACAAACATTGGAAGATAAATCGGGCAATGAAAATTAATAAAAAAGTGTGTGAGGTGATTAGTGACCGTTAATCGATATTTATTTAGAAATCGTGAGATGCGGTCTGGTGTGTATAATAAAAAATGGTTAATATTTAGTAGTTAGTTAGTTAGTTATTAATAGTTCTAATTCAATGTACGATCCACTAAATATTCTGTAATATCTGGAATAACTTAGTTAATAAAATACATGTTTTTTATATTGTTTGATTTTTTAAACGTATACACCTTTTTTAGATTTACTAGCTTGATGCGTTCGTCACTTTTGCTTGGGGGTTCGACGCCTACCAGGTTGACAGGTTGATTTACTCTAGTGGATTTTCACTTTTTGATGAACTCCTGGAGTTTTACATGTTGGACTAAAGTCGCCAGGTTGGAGATAGTCCAGAACTTGTTACTGAGTCTAGTTCTTCAGAAAAGAAATTTTAAGGCCTGCATGCAATGCCAGTTTAGTACCAATATAACAGGTCTCCGATATGGGAAATTAGTGATTAATTGGAGAACGTGAGATGCGGTCTGGTATGACTTAGTTTTAGAAAAATATTTTCTTTATCGTGCCAACGTTTCGAGCTTTACTGAGATCATTTTCAGAGATGAAAGTGTTTGTTTTCTGTGAACATGTGTATTGTATGTCGTTTTGAGAGTGCCAATCTAATCTCCAAATAATTATTACTTAACGGTCACTAAACACCTCACTAACACAATTGGACGACAAGTATAGACCGAAGAAGGTGAAACATATTCAATTATCCAGCCAAGATAGGGTTTTTCATATTTCTTTAACAACACTCTAAATATAGCATTTTATTTCAGTTTTACTTTGAGGTAAGTGTTCTGAGAAAGAAACTCTGCTGGAAACTACCATATTGTCTGGAGGTCAGGTACAGATACGGGAGTGTGAGGAATGCTTTGTAACAATGTATGGCCAAGTATGGTTCCTCATTTTTCTCAAACAATAGAAACACTTTTTTGATATTCATCAATAGTTCTCGATATTGAACTGGTCTTCCACGATGGATAGCATTTGTAGTGGTAACCTGAACTGGCATAGGGTCATTATAGGGTACGTCTTCACTCGTTGACTGGTTGAGTTGCTTAAGCCGGGAACACACCCGATGTTACCCGACGCAAATCCAAGTGCAATTTTCCGTAAGATTGTATTACCACCGTGCACATCTGCCCGATGCGATGCTATGCTACCCTACGTTTTGCGATCCCCACTATCCAGGTTTTCGTCGGGTTGTATCGAGTACGGTCAATACAAAAGAACCGGAAACTCATACTTTTATTCTAACTTCATTATTATTGCCGTCATATTAATTACAACATACTTATTTTAATATAAACCAAATTAACCGCGATCAAAAAGTCATTAGTTTTTATTTTAAAAAAATTAATTTTAATGGTTTGGTAAAAAATTAATCAAAACACCGGAATATCATTTTTTGATATAATAAATTTAACTAACAATTTATTACACGGTTTTACTTATAAAATTTAACGAACAATTTATTTCATTACACCATTTTCGTCGAGTAGCTTCAGAACAAGACACTCACATTTTTTTGTAGTTATTTCAACCTAAGTATATGTTATTTGTCATTATATTAATTACAACATGTAAACCAAATTAAACGAGATCAAATATTCATTAGTTTTTATAAAAATATTTAATTATGATGGTTAGGCGGAAAATTTATCAAAACATCGGAATAACATTATTTAAAACAATTAAATTTAACAAACAATTTATTCAAGGTTGTGCTCGTAAAATTTAACTAACAATTAATTACAAGGTTTTGCTCAAAATAGTGCATTAAAAACAAAAGAGGCGTTGCGATTGTGTTAGTGATTATTGTGATAAACGCGTGGACTCTACGCGACGTGTGCTTGCGTCGGATAGATGTGCACACCCCACCAAAACGTGGCAAGGCGTCGGGTAGCATCGGGTAGCGTCGCACAGCGCTACATCGGGTAAGTGTGTTTCCCGCTTTAAACACGTTTTAACATTGCTCCTCCTGACCTCCTCACTGAAGACGACGCAATGCCGAAATACGTTTTTAAACAAACCCGCGAGAGAAGACGGCTCCAATAAGTGACAATACGCCTTGCAGCACTGTCTTGATAATTACTAATACATATTTCTATTTAGTTGTCATAATTTATCATATTAATTATTTTAATTAAATATGGGTAAATTGAAAATTTGGCAAAAAGAGGGAAAAATTTGCAAGGTTGTAGGTTGAGATGAGATGATGTTCGGGTGGATCGAAGTCGGTCAACTAGCTAGCTTGAGAGAAGCGGCGTATTGAGCTGAGCCGAAGGTCGTGGGTTCGAATCCCTCTAGTGACACTTACTTTTTCATCTCAACCAAGCCTTTAGATTAAAAGTAGAATTAATTCAATTACTAATTATATTTTAAGAAACATTTTATAATTTTAAGAAATCTAGTAATCTTCCTAAGCATGAAAAAAAATTACTGGTATCATATATACTGATGGACAATATAAGTTAGGTTTATCCTTATTTTGCGTACCAAAAATAACTTTGGTTGTAAAAATAACATATTTAAAAAGAAAGTGATTATTACTAAAGTTATTCAGACATCGTGAGATGCGGTCGGGTGTGATGTAGGTTTCAGAAAAACATTTTCTTTATCGTGCCAACGTTCCGATCTGTTATTGAGATCATCTTCAGGGCCTGGGATTTACAAACAATGTTTACATTTAACAAATACATTTAGGATGTGGAAAAGTTAATTTATACAATGCAAAATATATTTTATATTCAAACAAAGTATTTCTTGTACAAATTCACTTTTCCACATCCTAAATGTAATTGTTAAATGTAAACATTGTTTGTAAATCCCAGGCCCTGAAGATGATCTCAATAAAGATCGAAACGTTGGCACGATAAAGAAAATGTTTTTCTGAAACCTACATCACAACCGACCGCATCTCACGATATCTGGTCGTTCTCACCGATAGTGGTCTAATTGACCATATTAATTATTTCAATTAATTATTCTTTTTATGTTATAGAAAGTTTTCTTGAATATTAAATCTATAAGATTTCGTGGTCCGATTGACCAAATAACTTATTTCAATTAATTAATCTTTATGTAAGGTTTTGGTTGAGATGAAAAAGCTAGTGTCACGTGCGGGATTCGAACCTACGACCTTCGGCTCAATACGCCGCTCTTTACTATTAAAAAAATAAAAGTATTATCATGTTCAATGGAATAAGAAATTAAGATGTCATTTGTCATCAAAGTTCTCACTGATGTGGGGGACAAATGGCACTACATGTTCTTCTTCTGTTATAATGAATTTAACTAACAATTTATTACACGGTTTTACTCATAAAATTAACTAACAATTTATTTCATGGTTTTGCTCATAAAATTTAACTAACAATTTATTTCATGGTTTTGCTCATAAAATTTAACTAACAATTTATTTCATGGTTTTGCTCATAAAATGACACCATTTTCGTCGAGTACCTTCAGAACAAGACACTCATATTTTTTGTAGTTTATTTCAACGTATAAACGATCTATTCATTCTGTAACAAAATTAAAACCTATTGAAATTCACCGCATTTAACAAAATGTATTTATACAATGCAAAAAAAAAAAAATATTTTTTTATATATTCAATCTCAACAAGAATGACACAATACGCAGAAAACAAACACATTGAGTGAGTACAAATATTTTGATTTAATATAAAAAAAATTTATTATTATTATTGCATTGTATAAATACATTTTGTTTCACATCGGACATGTATTTGTTAAATTTAAACAATGTTTGTAAATCCCGGGCTCTGAAGATGATCTCAATAAAGACCGAATCGTTGGCACGATAAATAAATGTTTTCGTTTTCTAAAACCTACGTCACACCAGACCTCATCAGACTAAGTATTGACTAACGGTCACTAAACACCGCACATTAATAATAATATGAATACTCATAAAGAAAAGGTAAAAACCATATACGAAATGATTAATGGAAACAATTTAACTAACAAAGAAAACGTTATCAGAAACAAAGATGCAACAAAGACGGAATCTCCAGAAATACCTGGTATCATTTATGTAAAACAGAAACAGAAGCAGAGTAAATTAAACCCCAGGGAAAGAATAAAATCGAAAAACCAATTTTAAAAAACTGCCATAATAAAAAAATCCCACCATAATACGAGATCCAATATTCATTCATCATAGTCTAATATAAAACGTCCGAGGAAGTCTCCTTATCAATTTAACAATAAAAATGATGACGTTGAAGGCCCTCGCGGCGTTATAGAGATAAAGGGTGTAACGCGCAATAACGGAATTCTGCCGATCATCTTAGTAAAAACGACATTACAAACGACTTGAAGGATTTACTTTATTATTTAGGAATCCAGCGAATCCATTCGAACGCGACATACAAATAATAATTTGAATGCCGTTTTTTTTTTTTTTCAAAAACAACGGCACTCCAAGGGTTGATATGGATATATATATATATAAATTTAACCCAGAGGGTTGATATGAAAAAATATATATATTCCCAACCTCGTTTAACCAACACCTCGTAATACTTGTGTAGTAAGTTCAGTGCATGCATGTTAAAATAAAGTACCTAATAGAAGAATTCTTTACAATTCCTTCAATCCAAATGGTCTAAATATTATTAATAACCATCAATGTCACTAAAGTATCCGGTGCGATCGCGTTGTATATATTATTTACCCATAATTTGATCTTAGGCAGTACTGTAGTGGATCAGTTCTTCAAAACCGAAGTTTTCGATCGAGTTTTGTACCAGGCTTGCTGTTCATGTTGAAGGGTTCGATTACATTAACCAATCTGATGCTTTACAGCTTACTAATCGAACGTGTTCCTCTGGGCAGCGTACTGGTACTCTTACTGTATCAAGTATACCTCTTAAAAGTTGGCATTACATCTCATACGCAAACCATTGATACCTTTGCAGACGACATAGATATTCTGTCACCTCATTCTTTAACCAGTGCAGTAAATATAAAAAAAGAATAACCTAAAATACAAGTTGACGAGAGACTAAACTGACGACAGAGCAGAGAGCAAATGAACAGAGTTCAGTCTTGCTAACATCCTGAGCAAAGCGTTTAGCAACACTTACCTCAAAATAAAGTTAAATAAAATTATATATTTATGAAAGAAGGCGTT